ATATTATATGCAATACACTAGGAGCTTTGTTATCTTGAATTAATGGGAGTGTGTGACTATCAACTCGTCACATGCTCCACCAGTGTTTTTGTCTGGACGCCCCGCCCCGCACTCACGCTATTGGTCAACAGCACAAACACCCGTCTCTGATTGGACAAAATGGCTGTCTGTCGTCGGTGTTGACGTGTAAACCAGGAACTTGACTCAGGAGAAGTGGTGTGTTGGCATTCTGGAGAAATTTGGATCAAAGTACAATAAAACTGTGACTTCTGTCGTCCCGCGTGTCCTCAGGTTCACAGACAGCAGCCAGACGACCTGTGATGCAGACGCACCTCTGCTGAGCGACATATTCTCCCGAGAAACACGAGCACTGTAAGTATCTCTGTCAATGCAATGAATGAGAGCTTTCTGTTGCCAGTTACATCTCCATTTTATGTTTGACGTTTTGTAGAGTTAATTTACTCAGAAACAAATATATATATATGTTCTGCAGAGAGTCCTGCATGCACCAAGAGTTTCCTCTCCGTGTTCTGGACTGCAGAGGCAAATAAAATGCAAATGTGTGCATTGTTGGCTTTTAGAAACTTTATAGCCCGTTAATATCAAAGTGTGACGGTAATATTTCACACTACTGACAGATAGAAAGACACACCTCTTAATTCCAGAGCTGCAATACCTTAAAACACCAAGCTGTGCTCTAAGAGTTCCATGTGTCTCCTTATACTCAGTTCACATTTTATCAGGTCCACCCAGCTATAACTAATGCAGGTAAATACATCTGACCTATAATAAATACCACCATAATAAAAGTTAGCATGTACTTTTTTTTTATTTTTATATGAAGAAGTGTCACAAAAATTTTGTTCATCCCTCAACACCTCTCCAAAATAGTTTCTACAAAACTGAACATTTTAACCTTCATGAGGGTTTATTACACTTCTTCATTACTTATACAAAGGTGTATGTAATAAACTGGCAACTGAGTGCAATTTCATCCAGCAATACTCCATGGTCATGCTCTTGTTTGTCACCATCCCGTCTGAATTCACTTCATTTATATTCTTTTAATTTAGTCTGCGTGTGGGTGTTAAGATACTTGCAGTATTTTATAAATTTAAAGTTCCAGTGTGTTACATATATGTGGATATATTGGCGGACTTAGAATATAATATTAAAATTATGTTTTCTGTAGTGTGTAATCACCTGCAAATAACATTTTTTGTGTTTTCATTACCTTATAATGAGCTGATTATAGCTACATCGAGAGTGGGTTCTCGTTTATGAATGTCGCTATGTTGCACTGCCATGTTACTACAGTGGCCCAGAATGGACAACCCAAAAACTGGCCCCAGATAGGGCCATTTATATTACACGTTTTTGTATTTTTCGTGACCACCATAGTAAGAAGCCCATCTGCAATGTATGGCATCGAACTTGTGTCAGATTTTTCACCTGAAACTGCTTTATTTAGTGTTTTTACTGGTTTAAATCATCAGGTCTGTTTGTTTTAGAGAGGAAGAGACCTCTGCTGATGATTCGACACCTGCTAAAAACCTCCTAAAAGTCTGCATCTTAAAGGAGCTATATGTAATAAATCTAAAGCAAATAGTCGTAAAATCCTCCTAATATGTCACAGAGACTAAGGAATAATGTTCATATAACATACTGATCTCACCGACAATATTACAGCCAGAATATTCGCATTTAAAACATTTTTTTACGGTCCGCAAATCATATTTATGTTTTGAATTTGTGTTTTGGCCTGTTGCGCCACCCACCGCCGTCTACCAGTCACACAGTCAGTAGAGTCTCAGCATCAGTTACAGTTACGACTGAGCTACAGCAGCACGGCAAGCAGCATTAGCAGTGTCCCAGTACATAGCATTAGCAGTCTCCTCAGCTGTATCCCAGCAGCAGTGTTAGCAGCAGAGAAGCCGGACTTGCTCGAACGGTCCGCTGGAAAACCGAAGATCAAGGACACGGCTACGTGGCCCTGCCACGGCAGCCGCCCGTGGGCAAACAAATCAGTCTCCAGCGTGCCGCTGTCCAGCAACCTCGAATCTGTAGGGGAGGGGGGGCGGACACGACTCACGGCAGTATTTTGAATTTGAGTGCAGTAACCGTTTTGGCCACATTCTTACATACAGCACCTTTAAGTTATCAGAGAAAAATAGTGAGCACACATTAGCAGGTGGTGGACTAACCGCCTGCACCAACATGCCAAACAGCATCACAGCAGTGTTTCTACCAGTATAAATCACCTGTTTTGTGTGTTTTGGAAAGGAGACCTCTGCGGATAATTTGGCTTCTGTTAGAAACCTCCTGAATAATAAACACTGATGGAATTATAGCCGGGAGAAGTTTTAGCTGGTTGCAATCTGCAATTCACCTCGAAACGCCACCAAATCCCACACTTTGTAACACTTTACCTTTAAACTTTGTGGTGAGAGGGAAAATTACGCCTTTAATTTACCTGTATGGCACAATGCAACTTGTTCAGGGGCTACGATGTTGTGATGTAAATAAGTTTTACAGTACCAGAGATAGAAAGCAGACCCTCAGACTCAGGGAAACAACTTATCTCTAAAAGCCATATTAAAAAAAATGCTAGACTTGCCTACCAGGCATAGTTTAGGTTTCCACTAAATTCAGGTTATGATAAACACTGTTCACTATGTTGCACCTGAAAATGTAATAGTGCTTGGAAATGTAACATCCCCCATGTAATGTAATCTAAGTAAAGTTATGACTTTGAGTTCTTCTTTGAGTGTGTAAGTATATATAATTTGTAATACTGTTAGTCAAGGTCACATTTATTTCTATAGCACATTTAAAAAGACGGAAGTCACCAAAGTGCTTTACAAGAACATTGTGAAAATTACAATACTACACAAATAGAATGATAAATACCAAAAATATAAAAACAGATACAAAATACCAAAAACAACAACATCAATTACACATAGAAAAACCTGAGACAGAGCATACGTATATCACACAAAGTCAAGTCTGGCTCACAGCAGGTTCAAAAGCCAACGAGAAAAGGTGAGTTTTTAGAGATGATTTAAACCTTTCCAGGGATTCTGCATGTCTAACATGCAACGGCAGGCTATTCCAGAGCTTGGGAGCAGCCACTGAAAATGCTTGGTCGCCCTTGGTTTTAAGCCTTGATCTGGGCACTTCAAGCAGCGGAACACCTGAAGACCTAAGGGCTCTGACTGGATTGTGAGCTTTTAACAGATACTGAGGGGCCATTCCATGTAAGATTTTAAAAACAAACAACAACATTTTAAAATGTATTCTAAAATGAACAGGAAGCCAGTGTATGGACATCAGAACAGGTGTAATATGGTCCTGCTTCTTGGTGCCAGTCAGGAGGCGAGCCGCTGTATTTTGGACTAGCTGCAGGCGACGAAGGGAGCACTGATCTAAACCAACATAAAGAGAATTACAGTAATCAAGTCTTGATGATATGAAGACATGAATGACCCTCTCCAAATCCTTGGAAGATAAATAGGGCTTAACTTTAGCTAGCAATCGAAGCTGGTGAAAAGAACCTTTCACAACCGAGCCAATTTGTTTTTGAAGATTTAGATCAGTGTCCAGAGTCACACCAAGGCTTTTGATCGACCCACTGATATTTTTGGTAGGGGTGTTCAAATTATCAAAAAAGTAAGTAGAACATTCTGCATGTCCAAACACAATAACCTCAGTTTTCTTATCGTTCAAATTAAGGTGGCTTTTGCTCATCCAAAGCTTAATGTCAGTCAGACAGGCTAATAAGGGATTCAGCGAGTGTCATTTTAACATTCTGAAAACACACACATTTGACACTGTTTGACACATTTCATATGTTTAAATTGTAAACTCGCAGATGGCAAGTGGTACGTTGTTATCAGGCAAAGATGGATATAACTAAAATCCCCATCAATGGTAAATAAACCTGCCCATACTCATGTTGATTGGTCATTGTGCAATGATTGTGCATTAGACCAGAGAGGATCTTGTATTAGACACCATCAGAAGATGACAAAAGCTGCAGAGAAGGGTATTACACAAGTGAGCGCTGAATGCAAAACAGTCTTTGCCTTTGCCTTGTTTGATCTCATGAAATTTCTGCATTCAAAATGGGATTTCAAATTGAATATGAAATTAATGAAAAATGTCATAGAAATAGAAACCTTTTGACTTCAGCTCAGTAGCACCTACACGGATTACGACAGGAAGGATCCAGTCACAGATTTTCTAGTTTTAAAGGGAGGCCTGACCTAAAAAGTTGTCGAACCACTGCTTTAACTTAAGTATACTTTCTGTGTACTTTTTATACCCCTGATGATTTATTTCCTGGGAAGGCAAAGTTAGCATCACTTTGCTTTGAGAACTGTCAAACATGTGTGCGCACAGACTAAAATGACCCATCTGAAAATATAATAAATTCCCAATAATGGAAAAAAGAATCACCTGATCAATAAAAATGATATTACAATATCAGTCAGGACATTTTATTATATTAGTGGTCAATGTTTTATTACATTTTCCATAATTATTACAACTTCAGGAAATTATTACACTTTTTGGTGCCACAACACTGTTAATGACTAGAAGGTAATATCAGCCTTGTTGTCGATGCATATTAGTTGCAAAATGGACAGTCAGTCTGCTTAGATATTTTCTCATGAGTCAGTACGCCACTGTTTACTGTTGTACCCACTGCTGCAAATGTACTGTAACACATCTGTAGAAATTTCTAAGTGGAATGATCACAAGCAAAAACAGAGGCTTCAAATGTGTTGCTCTTAGCAGTTTGGATATAACATTGTGATGAAAAAAAAACGGTATCCATTTCCTTTTCTTCTGGAAGATGGCCCACATCAACTGAACTAGACATTAAGGTCAATGGACAGCCAATCAGTCAAGTTTCTGAGGTAAAAGATTTAGGTCTAATGCTGGACACTCACCTGAAATTCGACAAACATGTTAAAAAAATGTGCAGAACGGTTAAAATTAATCTGTACACATTTAGACTAATCCGAGACTGTCTGACATTTGATGCAGCCAAAACATGCATATGCATTCAATGATCTTTTCATACCTCAGCTACTGTGTCACTTCCTGGTCTCAGGCCAGCCCATCAGTGATTAAACCTCTGGAGAGGCTATACAATCATGCAATAAAAATTTTAGGCAAAAGGCCGATAAGATCGCACCACTGTCATGTCCTGAGGGACCTGAACATGCTCAGCTTTGACAACTATATTGCATTTGCAAATGCCAATCTTATACGCAGGTGTTTACATGGCCAGGCTCCTCAGGTTCTCAGTGACATGGTGCGACCGTTACATGCCGTGGGACTGGTCACTAGGAATACCACTGCAGGGAACTGTAAAGTGCCGTACCGGAAGACTTCCTTTGGCCAGACATCCTTTGTCATAAAGGGAGCTAATATATGGAATGGATTGCCTATCCAACTTAAAACAGAACAAAACTGTCAACATTTTAAGATTAAACTGAAGGAATTTTTTAAAGGTAATCAGTTATGTAGTCATGTGTAGGAGCGGGTAGGTGGGTGGGAGGTAGGGTAGGTATAAAATATGCATGATGTGTATCTGTATGTAAATATGTGTATTTGTTGTTGTTGTGTATGTTGTTTTGTATGTTTTCTTTTTTAAAGGCCCTTCTAGGGACGGGCATTGGAAATTAGCAGTAGCTATAAATGCTGTGATACATTGCATTGGTTAATTGCTGTGCAATTCTCTATGTATATGTATCTGTCCCTATCAAATAAACATGAAATGAATGAATGAATGTTGCTGCACAGTACAACATAGCTTGGAAATCTGCGAGCCCGCTGTGTCCGACTGTAAACATTACATTTGGGCAATTTCCTCTCTTCCTTTTGTCCGCCTCTCGTGTCCTTTAATTTGCTGACTCTGGCTTCCGCCCACTGGAGAACAATAGCTGTGCATACATCCTCCTCCTCTGCTGGCACTAACGGTGTTTGAAATGTAGCTGAAAACAGTGTTTTTAGTGTAAGGTAAAATTCAGGTCTCCCAAAGCAGCAGTCTCCCATGAGAAGGCATCAGTCAGCACAGGCAGCCAGCCACGCTCCTTGAACATGCTAATTCAGTCTCTTTCCTCTATTCCCCTGCTGCACCGCTAGACTCTTCACCACTCCTGTTCTTCTTGGATGCGCATAGATACTTTTTTTTTTTCCTTTTCTATTCGCCTCTCTGTTCTCCCCTGTGCACACCTGCTTACACACTTCTCTCCCCATCACACTTAAACATGCTTTAAAAAGAAAGATAATCAGTTATTACTATACTAGCAGGACTTGACAGATATTGAGTTTTATTTGTCAGAACATATCAGGCATATCTTTCAAATTGTGCTCAAATCTTTCCGCGAGAGACCAGGTTTGAGGGACCTTGGTATCATCAGAACAGCACAGGTCTGCCCCTCGACTCATACTTGCTTTTTCCACTATTTTAAACAAAAGGCTACAATATTGATTGATGCAGTGTGTTGTGAGGGAACCTGTCTGGAATTTAGAGCAGAGTGCTTACTGAGAAACAAGTATGTTGGATGGATGCATGAAACGCACAGAATTTTAGCGCTTTGTAAAGAAAATTATTATACAGGCGTAGTTATCTGTGGTGATCGCACATCAATACACATTAATGCACAACCCTGGCGCAAACTGACATTTATTCTGTCACACACTCGCATAGTTACATGTGGAGCCAAAGAATACTATTTGTATTACTCCAAGCTTTTTATATCTTCTCTTTGAGCTGTCAGGGTAATCAAAGAGAGCTCGTGGTGTGAAGGGAAATGGTGTTAGACTAAATGAGATGGATAGGAAGTGCGCACACTGTGAACATAACACACATGGAAGGTGGTGTGAATTAATTTAATTATGTCTAGCAGATGTATGTGAAAGATAAACCATCTGCCTGATCAAAACTGACAACTCCTCTCTATATATGATTGTGTATTAACTTGAATCCTTTCTGCAAATTTCACAAGTTATATCGGGCTACAGTAACAGGAATGGAGCTATATCCGTATTTGATTAAGCTAAATGATCAGGTGTTACATTGAGACCCAGCTGTGATGTTCTCGCTCTAAAGATTTTTTTTTTCTTCTTCTTGTTTTGTTGTCAGGCTGAGGAAGGAGAATGGGGAGGAAGGATGCCAGTGCGACCAACTTACCAGTTGATCAGTACCGAAAACAGATTGGTGAGTCTTCATTCATCCTAGAGCTGGCTGGTTAATCAATTTGTTGATCATCAGTGAACCAAATGTGAAAATAATTAGTATTGTCAGTTGATTGAATATTTTGACAGTGTTAAGAAACAGAGTTAAAGCTGGGGTATGCAGTAAAATTTTGGCGTCATTGGGCAATAAACTTTGAGCATATTGTAATTCAAGTGGACCGAAAGAACACTAGACTTCTGCACCTCCTCTTGGCTCTGTTCTCAGGCTTTAGAAAATCTAGCCCAGAGGGGAGACTTTAGCCAGTCACAGGTTATTTCAGAGAGATGGCGTTACTACTCCTGCAGAGACAGTTAATATTCCAGCATTTGCAACAACTGTCTACATTGCAAAGTAATCCCCAAAAAAGAAGATGGAGGTATCAGAATCAGAGAGTCTACAAGAGAGTTTGACAACAAACAAAAATAAAACACGTTAATATCAGCAAAGTGTTTCAGAGATGGAAAGAAAATGTTGCTAATAGTTTAGCTTTCTGCTAATCGGAGCTAAAGGTTCGCAGCTGCCTCTTGAGGTTTCTGTTTATGCAGCTAACGTTAGCTAGAGCCTTAAATTACAACACTCCTTTTTAGATAGGAATTGTGCAAATTTGCAGGAAAGCCCAATCAGTCTTTTTTCAGCATTGGCAGTATAAAAACAAAATCGGGAAGTGAGGCAAAATGCCACCTACCTACTTTTGTTTATACAGAATGCGCCTTTTCGGGGCAGTGGGAGGCGTGAGCAAGTAACAAAACGTGTAGCATAGCATGTGACATAAACAGTGACGTGGGAGGGAAGCCGCGGCTGGTCAGTCCTTCGGCGATTCTCTAATAACAATAATAAGCTGGCCTGTTCTTCACCGTCCCCGTCACCTGATGGTTAATGGCCTTTTTGTTTGCGAGGACAAGGAGGGCGCACAATTCCTTGTCTCCCCAGTTGCTCATCTTTACAGTGTTTGTCAGGTTTGAGTTTCCCTCTTGCTCCTAGCTGCTTGCTAATTCCTGCTATCAGCTGTTTCCTGTTTATCCACCGCCAGTGGCTCGCAGATGCGGCGTCATCAATAGCTCCTCCCACAAGTCTTCAACAACCCCTCCTGTGGCGGAGGGCCGTCTTGTTCTTTTTAAACTGAAAAGGTTCCGCCAATATGACTACCCTACGAGGTGGAAAATTGGGCACCTCGGATGCCTAAACGCTTGCAGCTTGCAGCTTGCCAGCAAAACGGCCCAACATTGGCGGAAAATCTGGCAGTGTAAAAGGGGCTTATGTGTCTCCCACATCGCCGGTAGGAGAATGAGCAACAGCTCTGAAGACTGACTGCAGAATCCCAAAAACAGCCAGTGCCACATTAGCAAACTCTCTGCTGTGACACCCTGAGCTGGAGGGTTTAGCACTGGCCACTAACCAGAGGCCTGTCTCCTGAGCTGTTGCCTGCTCTCTGAGTCAAGCAGTTACAGTGGCGGGGAACAAGGCGGGGGGACCAGGGGATGGCTAACTAGCTAATGCTTGTCTCATTTTTGGTTTGAAAGACAGAGAAAGGGTAGGCATGGAGGGGCTAAGGAAAAGCGTTGCACGTATTTCTACAGTGAAATGAAAATTAAATAAATCAATGTATCAGAAACTGGAGTTACTGTGTGAAACATGTACGTATGCCCATGACCTTTGCCTTTTCTATATTTCTGCCTATTCCAGCTTTAAGTAAATGATCACACTGCTTTTCTTCCTTTTTATAACATAAAATAGAATTATTTGGGCTCATTAATGTCACATTTTCTGTCCTAAATGATTGATAGTTTAATCAAAAAGATAATCAATATATTTACTGACAATTAAAACAATAGGTCTGTAGATTAGTTCATGATGCTTTTTGACAGTTGAGATTGGTCTTCAGCTTGTTGTGCAGCTCAATTTCAACACAAATCATAACTCAGTGCTTGATGTGGGCCGTTTTACCACAACTCAGTAATCAAGTCAGCATTCTCTCATAGAAACACGCTAATGTCACACTCAATAAATCACACATGATGCTGCGTTACAGGGAGCAATTTTGTGGTAGTTTCAGATATATCTCAAACCGCCTAACAGTCCAACTCTTTTGAAGACCTTTATCAATGATGGCTATGCAGAAATTAGCATAATCTCTTTGCACAGTTCGGGAAACTTTTCCAATTTGTATTGGATTGAAGAGAAACTTTAACCAGACTTGCTGGAGTAGAACCAGTATAAAAGCTGTGGAAGTAATTACACTTAGAGATGAACACGCAGCATCTAAGGTCACATTACTGACAGACAGTGAATTCCACACTTAAAAAGCTCCCCCTTTGATATGTCACAAGCTGTTTTGTCAAAGTTTAATACCACTTTAATCCTGCGGTATTTTGTTTCCTCGTCTTTCCCCTTACATCACAAAGGCCTAACTAAGGCAATATGGAGGGTATCAATCAAAAGTTTGGTCCCCTTTAGCATGCCAGCTGTGGTTACTTGAAGATCACAGCTCATATCATGTCTTTTTGTTTTTGTTTTCCTCTTGTGAAGCAAAACCAAAAGGTCGCTAGTGGCAAAGCTGGATAATTGTCAGCAGCTACGACTGACGTAAACACAAAGGGAAGCTCTGTTCTCCTTATAGGCTTAAGGTTTTCACTGAAAATCCAAGGAGCGGCATATTGTGTGCATAAAATGAGACTAAATAGTCTTATTAGACGCAAAAGGCTCCCACTTTTGGGACCCAAGATAAAAGATTTTTGCACTAAATGGACTGATACTCTGTGACCTCATATCTTTACTAATAATGAAATGTCTGAGACAAAGGTGGGAATGAGTTCCTTCACAGAAATGGTAACAATCACAGCTTTAGAGGATGAGCTCAAGAGTGACACAATTACCTTGGATGACCAAATATATCAATAATGTCTCCACACAAGACGCACAAGTCCAATAAGCAGGTTCGTTACAATTGATGTCCTCTTTAGGGATACATTACAACATCAGCACACTATCGGTATCGCAGATTAAGGCTGTAAAATGAAATATGGGTATTGGCCCAAAATGAACATTTCTGCCACTATGACAGGCCGATAAGCTGATGCTTAAAGCAACACTTACCTTTCTGGAAATTTTACGCTTTTCTTTGTTTAGGTTAAAATTCTATTAATAAGCTGATGGCACACTAAAATGTAAGTGAATTCCTCCAGAGATAAAAACTCATAATTATACCATTCTCATATGATTCTAAGAAAACTCCGACCAATCATTGCATTCGGACCGAGTGTTGCATTGCAATGAATGCAATGACCCCAGCATCAGTTGCTAATGGCTAACGTTAGCCTAATGTAGCCTAATGTTGCCTGAGCCTCTGTATTGTCTTCCTTGTTTGTTGCCAGTCACCAGTACTATCTAACGTTAGTGTTTATGTTATATTATAAAACTCATCGGTCATCACTGACCCCTGATAAGTTTCAAAACTCCGGGGTTGCATTTGACTGTGCAGGACAGGTAACGTTATGTTTAGTTTACTTCTAATATAACATATGATGTTATATGACAACACAGCATCCAGTTGCTAATGGCTAACGTTTACCTACTATAGCGTATTCTCTGAAACATTGACGTTATCTTCCTTGTGCGTTTCCACTTACTAGTGACGTTAACACTACTATCTGACGTTAGCACTGTAACCTTATTCTAAAACTCATCAGTCATCACTGACTCCGGTTGAGTTTTAAAACTCCGGGGTTGCGTTTGACTGTCTTGGTTGTAACGTTACACTCGCTCTCCTCTTCTGTGTATCTAACGTTACAATGCCAATGCCTACGTCTATCATAGACGTAATGAGGACGTAATGGAGGAGGGGGGAGTAGGCCTTTGGAGGGAGTTGGAGTTGCAGGAGGAGGGGGGTGGGACTTTAGAGGGAGGCAGGAGTTGTGGATGTTCATATTTTTTGTAAGTGCTGTGTGAAATGCAAGAAAGTTAAGAGTAGCTTTAAGTAGTGCGACTTTAATTACTCGGTATATTTGCTCTGGATGTGGCTATTGTCAGGATTGTCTCAAGGAGAGCATCACCCCAGCCTGCTTAAAGTAGGATGAAATTTACAGTTTTGTTTGAAAATGTAAATGGCACATAAAAAGTAATCTTGCATGTTTTTATAGGTAACCTACCCCTTCAGGGTAACAGTGACTTTCACGTGATGTAGTAAACAAGCCAAGTTAGCCCTCAGAGCTAATGCAGGCTAACCAAAATTAGTGGAAAAAATATTGCCGTATCAGATGTCAGCAAAAAATACAACATCATGCGTTCTTAGTCTTCGTAGAATTTATATTTTGGTTTTATCACTTTTCAGCAATTTGTCAATTTGCAAGTTGATGTGGACAGATGGGTAAATCAGACCCCCCCTCCTCCTCCTCCTCTCCTGAAGATTGTGATTACTGTGGCATTGTTCTGGTCACCTTCCTCCCAGTGGATGGTCGTTTGTTGGCCCCTGGTGATTCACATCCTCTGTTTATTCCAGATTTAATATTTCCTGGTGTTACTTTGAGCTAACAGGACTCGTGACTTGGTCTCTTATGCTAAATTATTGCTGTTGATGCATGTTTTAGTGTATGAACCATTTTGTCTCTTGTACCTTTTGTAACCTTTTTGAGTTCTTTCCTCTTCATGAAGTCATCGTCATTCTGGCAGGAATAACAACTTTTGTGTTTCTCAGGCATGTGATAGTCTGTTGAGAAATGTCTTTGTCTTGTTAACTCTACTGTGTTATCATATCTGTCTCTGTCTCTGTCTCTCCGTCTCTTTTTGTATAACTTTATCATTGGGATTACTGCAAATTTATTATGTTGATCTGTTTGACATTTATTGCACATCTGTCCCTTCTGGAAGAGGTATCCTTCCTCAGTTGCGCTTCCTGAAGTTTCTACCATTTCTTTTCCAGAGTTTAAGTTATTTTTTGGGGAGTTTTACTTATCCGCTGTGAGGTCCTAAGGACAGAGGGATATCAT